GGATGGAGGGAGGAGAGAAGGAGAGAGGGAGAGGCAGTCCAAAACATAGTAAATATTCATGGCCTTGTAAAGCCTGTGTACCCAAGCCAAACAGTTGATTACAGGCTACAGTCTATCATGTAAAAACGCAAAGCTGAAATGCCCTCTGTGACGCAGAAGTGGCTGCAAGGAACTTTATCCAAAATGTTAAAATAGAACCAGACATTGACCCAGCTGTATTATGCCCAAAATATGAATACAATTTCTTAGCGTTAACTTAGATCCTATATTACGCAAAGTTGATTCTTGTGACCTTTTAGCCATATTATAATGATATTACCGGGTTCCAGGTTTGATCCTCATGTCACCTGGGCCTTTCTGTGTGGAGTTTGCATGTTCTCCTGTGACTGGGTGGCTTTCCTACAGGCACACCCATTTTCCCCATTAACCCAGAAAACATGCAACATAGGTCATTGACTTCAGGAAGACTGGACTGGAGGTCAAATAAATACAATAAATACAAATACAATACAACACAGTGTTTTCTGTTTGAGAGAAGAACTAAGTAACTAAATATGCAGTGTTAATGTGTTAAACATGTGTGAATGAAACAATACACAACACGTATGTTTTTGATGAGGAAACAACATTATAACAAAGCAGAAAAAATACAGTAATATGGCCCCTTTAAAGGCACTGTAACTGATTTTTACTCTCTTAAAAATGTTAGAAACACAACTAGTTCATTTTTAGCTGTTTGCAATGGTCCAAAGTTTTTACTCACTTGCCTTATGAATTCAGAGCATCCTAATTATTCACTATGATTAGTTAATAAGTGTTTTTGCACACTTTCAGAAACTGAAGCGTAGTTTTGACATCATGATAAAGCTAACAACAACTAGCAAAGCTAACAACAACTAGCATGCTAACTGCAATTTCCTGATACTTGGACAAAAAATACTTTATGATTAGATTCAGACAGAATGCAGTGGATTTTTGTGCAGCGGCAAGACAAATTTGGCCCAAATACATGATTTTTTTTTTTAGTATAGGTCGTTTTGAATTTGTTGTTCTATATTTAGGGATTTTTAAAAACATTTCTGACTAATTCCAAATTATCCTCTTCTTCAAAAAAGAACTGACCTACATTTTCTTAATAACCATTCAAAACAAGATGGATTCTTTTTTGCTGTGTTTAAATTGTGTATGACTATGATGACCATTTTAATGCACAACCCTAAACTGAAGTGATTACTGCCTGCTTATCAGATTGGGGTTATTCTGAGCTAATGGCATGATAAAGAACATTAAAGTGATAATATGTATTTAATGGAGGGAGATAGAGCAGAGATGCCCACACTGATGAGGACTGATCCCTGTTTAAATGGGTCACAAATCTTAGTTAAGGCTCAAATATGTTGTTTTTCATCATGATTGGGGAAAATTGACAACATTTTTCACATTATATTAAGTTTGGCTGCTTTGGGTTGACCCGGACTACATCTGCTGTTGCCATTCATAGATTTAAATCAGGTCAAAAAATTAACTTTGGGATAAAACATGTTAAAAGTGTATTAGAATACAGTGCAGATTTAGCACTGAATGAATATGCAAAAATGTAGGTGACTACAGATGAACATATTATGGAAAATATTACAATATTTTCCAATCTATGTTATGTTTCCTCATCAAAAACATACATAGACTTGTGTTTTGTTTCATTCACACAGTCTAACTCACAAACCCTGCATGTTTAGTCTGAGTTCTTCTGTCAAACTGAAATGTTCCACCTTGTGATGTCATGTGGCAATAGGAAGTGCTCCACTATGTTTTTAAACTCTGTACACCTTCACTAGACTCATTTGGATAATTTCATCCCTGAAATGTCCAATCTGTATTGAACAAAAGTTAAAGAGTAGCTGTTAACTTGAAAACTACCGCTTCATGACGTCATGAGGTGGACCAGAGCATTTTAAGCTTTTGAGATGTAGACAGACTAGTGTTACTCAAACATGTGTGAATGAAAAAAACACAACTCACTCTAAGACCCCCTTTACAATGAAACGAATCCGCGTATCACCGATCTGCATCCACACACGTCGTTTCTGTTTCCGCAATCCTTCCTTATCCACACAGCTTTGAGCAGATATGTTTATGTTTTACAGAAACAAAACTTAAAACTGCATGGCTCATTTGCATAAACTGAACACTCAAAAAACAGTTCGCTATTGTGCACTGATGCAGTTCAGCTTCTGTTGGATTAAGGACACAACTCAGTGGATTATATGTGTTCTTTCTGTGACAGGGGTGTTCAGCTAATGGTAAGTCTGTTCTGTGCTTCTATCGCGTTGGAGATGGTTCATGTGAAACTTTTCAGAGATTATATGTCTGCAGATTGTACGCATAGACCATATATATGAATATATGATAGCCTTTTAGCGTTTTGGAGGTGAATTAGCTACTTCAAGGTGCATAGACCTACATCAGCGTATCAGTGTTTTCAGGCGTCCACACAGTGCCAGATCAGATCCATACTCAGATGAATTCGTGGGAGCTGGCAGCACCAGATCGTGCCGTCTCTGGAGCTGTTTTCAATTGGATTAGTGTGGACGAACACTGCATCCGCAACGTAAACGATTCGAATATGTACTAATGTTGAGGGGGCCAAAGTATGTTTTAGAGGAGGCAACAACATTCTAACGGCTTAAAGCTCACAAGACAGTTTTGAATAATATAGGACCTTTAATTTATATCAACATTTAAAAAACAAAAAACATATTCATAACATTTGGCACATTAACCAACAGCAGGAGCAGCAGCACACACAGGGCCACCAGTTTTTTCTCCCACTACTCTCATTTACATTTCACATTTCCCAATAGTAAATCACACGCAACTCACTATGAAATATACATGTTATTTTTCAGTTTGATAAATCCTGCCCTTTGTTGCTTGTGTTCCAATATTTATTTTGTTTGTTGTACTTCCTGAGGTCAAAGGTTCAGTTGTGAATCCCAAGACACACAATTAGTCCTCTCCCAGTGTTTGTTTTTACCCTGTTGTTTTGTTGTTGGTATAGCAGCTTTAGCAATGTGTGAATCTGACGGGTCTGACAGATACAGAGCAACGCAGTGTTTGCATACAGGTAGTTTGTGAGGGTTGTTTTTACAAGTTTGTTGGTCAGTTAGATTTATTTTTTTTGTTTCCTATGCATAGGACTGGGCAATTCATAACATTTTCAATTAAAAATAATGTTAATCAAAAATATTATTAATTAAATAATAATAATAATAAATTAAAATAAAAGGTACACTTGTTCACTCACAGTTGGGAGCAAAACCGTTTTTCTATATATTTCTATATTTGTGTAGCTCTGAAAAGAGTTTTTCTAATTTCAGCTTGGTTTAGTGGAACAACACAAATCTGTAATATTGGACATGCATAATGGCACAATTATAAATCTAAGCTCATGAATATTTTTAATGTTAATCACTTCCAAGCTCCAGACACAAGCATTACCTGACGTTTGAGTTGTCATGCATAGATGGTGGAAACAGGTTTTAATGGGAAAGGAGAGGCCATAAACTGCTTTACTTTGCAATCAATAATGAATGGCTAAGTCTGTCTACTTATCTTATAGTAGAAAATGTGATATAATTCCTTATCATCCATCCCTCAGTATAATATCTCATTTTACATCCATCAACACAACAGCACCTCAGAAGTATGTCACATACAGAGCTCAAAGTAGTTTTCTTATTTGTGTTGTCAAGTTCTCTCTCCCTCTCTGTCTCACTTCCAATCTGTCTTTCTCTCTCCCTCACCCATTCTCTTTCTCGCCCCCTCTCTGCTGCTCTCACTCCCTCTCCCTCTTTCTCTCTTCCTCTCTCTCTTTCTCCCCTTCACTTTGCCTCTCTCTATCTTTCTCATTTCCTCTCTCTCTCTTCCTCCCTCACTTCCTCAACCTCTCTCTCACTCTCTCTCTCCCCCTCTCTCTTGGATCCTTCCGTCCAGTGTCACAGTGAATTTCCAGCTGTGGAGGATGGGTGTTCCTGTCGTTCCTCTGTGGGGGCTCTGGGTGGGGTTCACATGTCCATCTGCTCACGTCCCGAGGAGCAAAAAATACAGCACCACATCTCAAATATACCTCCCCCACACAAATATACCCTGCATACATGCCCAAAATAATTACCTCAGCAGGGATTCTCTCTCCATCTATTGGAATGCCAGAGAGATGTAAGGACTGCAATCAACTACACTGCAAAAAGTAGAGAATATAGATGCTTATTGTCAGCAGGGTTGCCTCTCCACAGATCTAGCTTGTAACTTGCTGCCTCAGTGGAGATAGTAAGCTTAAATTCCATATTGTGGCAAAGCAGTAATATCTTCAAAGAGACAAGCCGGTGGCAGACCTTCCATCCGATTTTTTTCTAATCAAATTACTCTCTACATTTTCTAAAAACTATATTAAAATAGAGGAAAATATACACTACATGAACCAATCTGAAATACATTGAGACAAAAAATACTGACTTAAATAAAGATTCATATTCTAATTTCACGCCACTTTAAATGTACCACTATGTACTGGAGAGTCCATTGCCTGCTTTTCTTCATGGAGCTGTTATTACTTTGTCTAGAATGTCCCACAATATGGCATTAAACATATCTATTTCCATGGAGACAAGGCCACAATGCCACTAGTCCAAGTTAAAGGTCAGATCTGTGGAGAGGTGAGTTCACTTACTGTAGGAATGCCTGTTTTTCTGTAATTGAATAAATGCAACATAAGTGAGTTTAATGCCATACTTTGAAACCTCTCAGGCAAAGCAAATATATCTCTAAGGAAACAAGCTTGTGGCATATCCCCTACCAGAAAATGTACACAATGCACCTTTAACTCACATAAATGATCTTTTTACAGTGTAATCATTCAAAAAAACACCCTGAAATGTCTAATACTGCTACATAAAAAGTCCTTTTGGATATCTTGTTTCATCTGTTTCTCTCTCTCTTCTTAGGGGACTGTTCGCGAGTCATTACACAGAGACACATTACGGGGCGGATGGAAGCGCAGTCACGGGCGCTCACAACTTTACGGTACGGTGCCAACTCCAGCGCTTTTGACATTTATGGGCAACTCGACCTACAGTGGCACCCGGGCAGTCAGGCTGTAAAAACCCACGCGTTCAGAATGGCCCAAGGAGGAGACACTTTTTCTTTATAACGTTTGTAGACTTTTGAGCTGAAAAGGTTAAGGATAATGCTGTTTTTGACTAAGCCTGTCACAATATATTGATAAAGAGAAATATCACGATAATAATGAAACTAGTTTATATCTCTGACACGAAGCACTCCCACTAAACTAGTTTTTAAATTTACAGTATCATTACCAACAAATAAATAACATAATGAACCCATAACTATCCATAGAAGTTATTTATTCTATCTTCTGCAGCTCAAATCATATCTTATTACATTAAAACGGCTAAAATCTTCCCACGATTGTAAAAAAAATGTACACAGATAAATACTGAGCTCCAAAATATCTTGCTTCTGCTTTTACATACTATGATAAATCGATATTATAATTATTGTGTCAGGCCTATTTTTGACTAACTCCCTAAGCTGTTGTGACTGGCGTAGAGCCTGTGACCTACTTGTTGATAAGCAGCAGTTTACATACAGGGTGATAATCAGGATTTTGGTACTTCCACTTGTTTTAGCTCTGAGCTCAAACACGTGAGCTGTTTGAAACGTGTAATTCTCAAATGTTTCTGATGTCATTTCTGCAGAATAAGCAATCACATGACATCCTGGATATAGTCTTTCTATTGTGCGGACTTTTTTATCACCCCCAAAGTCACACTATCAAATGTCAACACTTCTGATAGATGTTTTATTGTGTGCTGAAAATCACTTAAAGATCCTATATTATGCTAGTTTGACTTGTGAGCTTTTTATGATCTGGAATTGTGTTGTTTTTTTTTTTCATTCACACATGTTTGAGTAATCCTGCATTATTAGTCTGTCTGCATCTCCAAAGCTCAGAATGTTCTGTTCTACCTTATGATGACATGTAGTGGTAGTTTTCAAGTTAACAGCTACCTTTAACTCAATGGAGATTGGCAATTCCAGAGATGAAATCATCCAAATGATTCTAGTGAAGATATATGGAGCTTAAAAACACAGTGAAGCACATCCTCTATTACCACATGACATGACAAGGTGGAACAGAATGTTTTCTCTTCAGCTTAAAAATGGAGGGCTTGTGTGTTAAATTTGTATGAATGAAAAAACACAACTCCAGTTATATTTGTGATGAGGAAACAACATTATAACATATATCAGAAACAGTGAAATATCAGTCATTTCATTTGTATTCCCAGGTTGAAGCCAAAGCCAGTCACAGAATAATATTGTGCTTAACAATGTCATAATGTCAAGTCTTAGTAATAGAGCTATGAAGCAAGATATGAGTAAACTGTCTCCACATTCTACAAAGATACAAAAATGCAGGTCTAATCATTACTAACACACTGCAAGTCAATTTCTGAATGCAGTAATGATTGAGAGTAGGACTATCTGGCTAAACAGGATTTGCCATTTCTAAAGTTACATTCAGAGTCACTTGTGGCTTATTATGGCCCTTCGAAAAATGGCAGGGATATTTCATTCTCTCCAGAACAAATTATTGAGCCATCAGGTGCACTCTGAAATAGTTTATTTACAAGTTATGCCATTATGCTGCCCAAATTGGATTCCCCCATGTGTGCTAGAAACCAAAAAATCCAGTCTGTCCCTGTGACAACACCATGCCAAGTTGCAAGTGAGATCTGTAGAGATGCAACCCGGCTAACCGCAAAAGAATGCATTTTTGTCATAGTATTAAAACATACAAGATAGATCAATTTAAAGGGTTCATATTAAGTTTTTTTTTTTTTTTTTATCTCGGAATTGTGTTTTGTTCCATTCACACATGTCAAATACTGCATATTTAACCTAAGTTCTTCTCTCAAACTGAAAACACTCCATTTCACCCCGTTGTGATGACATGTGATAATACAGGAAATGCCCCACTGTGTTTAGCTCTGGAATTTTTACTAAACAAAAGGTAAAAGGTAGTTGTTAACTTGAAAACTACCACTTCCTGACATTACAAGGTGCTTTTGAGCTTTGGAGATGTAGATAACAGACTGATAATGAAGGATTACTCAGACATGTGTGAATGAAACAAAACACAACTCACAACTCAGGTATGTTTTTGAGGAGGTAAGAGCATTATATCATGGCTTAAACCTCACAAGAGTCCAATTTTGTGCCATGTACTAGCCAAAGCAATCACACATCCATGGAGACAAGCAGCGCTATCTCCTGAAAAGTTACATAATGCACCTTTAAGAACACTATTACTGACCATAATCAGTTAGGTAGTTTGCTTTAAGACCACAGTTGCTTGGGTAAGTCATTGAGGCTTGGATACAGCATGACAGCTCCCTAAAACATATTATATTACAACATAATAAGTCTCCAGATTCCCCTAGTTGCCTTTAATTTGTGAAAACATCTCCTCCTGCCTCTCTCTGTCACTGGTGTAATCTCCGTATTAAACGCTGTGCACCTGCAGCATCTCCTGGGCTCTGCTTTAATCAGCCACATGCTCATTTAACTGTTTGTACTCCCACTCTGAGAATATTAACGTTTCTATTCCAAACACTACTTTTAATAGCTTTGAGTCTTACCCCTGAGTACAATTAACCCTGGTGCCTTTAATCTTTACTCTTCTGTTTAGACCTCAAGACAGGCCCTGAGCATCTAAATATTTTATTGTACTACCATTAAAGGTCCAAAATTGACTCTTGTGAGCTTTACACTATGTTAGAATGTTTTTGCCTCATTAAAAACATACCTGGAGTTGTGTTTTGCTTCATTCACACATGTTTGAGTAATCCTTTATTATTCCTGTCTACATTTCCAAAGCTCAAACTGCTCATCTTTTGATGTCACGTTGTGGTAGTTTTCAAGTTAACGGCAACCTTTTACCTTTTCTACAGTAGAGATGGGCAGTTCCACGTCTGAAATTATCCAAATGATTCTAGTGAAGGTGTATGGAGTTTAAAACAGTGGAGCACTTCCTGTATTTCCACATGACATCACAACGTGGAACAGAGTGTTTTCCGTTTAAGAGAAAAACACAGTCTAAATATGCAGGGGTGGGTGTTAAACGTGTGAATGAAACAAAACACAACTTCATGTTTTTGATAAAGAAGCAAAATTACAACATAGATCAGAAAATAGTGTAATATAGGCCATTTTAAGGTGCAGAAGGTGGTCTGATTAGAATCAATTTCCATTTGGGTAAATTTAGGTCAAGTTGAACCGAGCGACTAATGTTTTTTTCCAGGTGAAATGCCTTTTTCTTTTGCTGTTGAGTGCTTTGGAGTGGTCCTCAACAATAAGTGAAGCTATTTTAATATAGCTCTTAAGATGTCCTCCTTTTTTGTTCTTCCAGAGAGCTGTAGAAAAAACTGTTACCATGTTAATACCATTTTCCATTCAGATGACTTTTTTCCATTCTTGTCTAGTCTTTTATGGTTTTAGATTTTAGTAACTGTTCAAAGGATAAAAAGAGGTGGATGAATAATAGAGCATAGAAGTCTAAATAAGTAGTTGAATGGAGGGAGCCTTTTGAAAATTCATTAAAAAAAATTAACAGACCAATGCCAAAATTCTCAGCACAGTTTTAATACAAAGCATGTTGTGAGATTAGCAAACTGAATACTACGTGTAACCAAATTTGAATTCACCTTTGAGTTTGAATGTACTATTTTGTCTCAGGAAGGGCACTTATTTTGAAATATGCACGTAGCATCAGTTTGTCCTCCTTGAAAATTGATTTAATGAGAATGAATCTTTAGATAATGTGTTTTCGAATTATGCTTCAGTTCACAGTGCATATTTTAAACTCACTTGGAGCGTCAACATTTGAGAGAAGACAAAAATATGAACTGCTGGACTGACAAAAATCACGTTTGAGAATATGTTTATAGCAGTTTAATCTACAGGGTTAACACGTTTTAGAGATTTTGTTGTTTGTATGCTTAGGGCATAATGTGATTTACTAATTGTGAACTTTCAAATTGGTGTTTTAATTTGTGTTAACTGGACATTATGTGTAAAATTACATACATACACCAGTCAAATTTTGGACACCATCTCATTCAATTTTTTTTTTTATTTTTATTTTTTATTACATGTTTATTACCTACTACATATTATTTACTAGTACATACACAAGACGGTATATGGAATTATTTGCAACATAATTCCATATACCGTCTTGTGTATGTACTAGTATGTACTAGTAACTACTAAATATTAGTTTAAATATTTTATTACCAGATCCTCATATTAGTCACCCTTTGCTTTGTCGAAAAATATTTATTATTTAGTTAACTTTTTTTTTTCTTTTCTACATTATTCCATATATCTTAGTTCATATATTTGACCTATTCTGTATCAAATGTAGAAAGCAGTGAACATATACTGTAGAAAAAACATAAAATGACAGAGTGAGTCCAAATTTTTGACATATAGCACCTTTAAATTCAATGTTCTATAACCTTTTGTTTTCTCTGTTTATTTATTGATCAGAATTGTATTGCAAATGTAGTGCAACTTGTGGGGGAGGTGATCTGTGTATTAACAAATAATTCTCACATGTTCTTATTTGTGATTGTTTTGTAGAATAACTGCTACTATCATGGAGAGGTGCAGGGCCAGACGGACTCAGATGTCACCGTTAGCGTTTGCTCGGGTCTTCTTCGGTGAGGATTGCTATTCAAGAGGCATCTCAGCACTGGCCTTTAACTGCTGTGTACCTCCCCACTGTTTATGTTTACTCAAGTCATTCTGAGCAGCAGCCTGTCTGTCTTAAGAGCTCTAAGAGTGTCATCTGATAGTTGGTATGTGCCGCTGGACGCCCACAGGAAACAAGGAAAATGTCACACCTCATTGGCCATGTCCACAGAGGGAGCTGGTAAATAACTTTGCTCCTCTTGTGCAAGTAATTGGCATCGAGATGGTGCTAATGACCAGAAATATTGAAAGATAAGGGACTTCAGGACACTCTGCTCTCCACACTCAATTAACCAGGCATTTGCAACAGATGTGGAAAGCATAAACTTATAATGTGAAAGTATGCTGTTATATGGTCTTATACATATGAAATGTAAAGAAGACCTCCTAACTACAATTATGTAGCTCCCCAAAGAATTTATGAAGTATACATATGACACTTAATACTAAAGTCTGATTAATCACATACCTGTGTACCATTGTAATTGTATGCTTTAGGTGCACAAGTACACAAATAATATTGGACATGTGTTTAGACTCATTCATAGATCAGTTTTACAAAATGGTTTATGTGTTATAGGCATCTAAAGCTAGCCGTTGCTCTTATGTACTTGTAGACTTGATTTCTTGCAACCACTAACTGTAGTAGCTCTCTCAATTTTTGTTTTGTAAAAGTAGCTCACTGTGGGAAAATGGTTGGAGACCCCTAACCTAAAGTATATATTTGAAGTTTTGTTATTGTTCTGTTCGTTCAGTAAAATCGGTATCCGATTTGTACATGTTTACATCCACAAACAAAGTAGGCATGTTTGAATCAAATATGAAATTATAGCTGATTATTAATAACAAAAACACAGGATATGATTGCCATGCTGTTTTTATTAGAATTTTTGGATTTTTTAAGACAATTATACAATCAAAACACAGACTGAGCCTCACACGAGTCTCTCATTTGGGTTGCCAGTTTTAATGGCAAAATCCAGTTTGTTTACAGTGTGTGCACAATTAGTAGGGAAGTGAGTACTTTGACTGTATCATGATTTTTATGCATATTCTCCAACTCCAAGCTGTATAGACTTGAATTTTTATTGGATTTAAGCATATCTGGTGATGTGTATTTGTCTAACGAGGGAGTGTGTGGCCTAAAGAGATCAACATCCTATATCAAGGTGTGTAGAATTATTAGGCAGCTTTTTTCCTCAGGCAAAATGGGGCAAAAAAAAGAGATTTAACTGACTCTGAAAAGTAAAAAAAATAAAAAATAAAAATAAAAAAAATGTAAAAAGACATTCAGAGGGATGCAGCACTCTTAAAATTGCAAAGATTTTGTGCTGTGATCACAGAACCATCAAACGTTTTGTAGCAAGAAATGTGTTTTGAGAAGAATCAAACATAAACCTTCCAGGAACCCATTATCCTCTAGGCTGTCATATTTTCAGAACTGCAACCTACCTGGAGGGCCCAGAAGTACAAGGTGTTCAGTGCTCAGAGACATGGCCAAGGTAAAGAAGGCTGAAACCCATCCACCACTGACAAGAAACAAGAAACATAAACTGAAACATCAAGGACTGGGCCAAGAAATATCTGAAGACCGATTTTTCAAAGGTTTTATGTACTGATGAGGCGAGAGTGACTCTTGACGAACGAGATGGAAGGGCCCGTGGCTGGATCAGTAATGGGCACAGAGCTCCACTTCGACTCCAGCAAAGTGGAGGTGGGATACTGGTATGGGCTGGTATTATTAAAGATGAGCTTGTTGGATCTTTTCCGGTTGAAGATGGACTCCAAATTAATTCTAAAACTTGCTGCCAGTTTTTAGAAGACACTTTCTTCAATCAGTAGTACAGGAAAAAGTCTGCGTCTTTCAAGAGAAACATGATTTTTATGCAGGACAATGTTCGGTCACATGAATCAAAGTACTCTATTCCATGGCTAGCCAGTAAAGTCCTTAAAGATGAAAAAAATAATGCCATAATCTCCTGACCTAAAGCCTATTGAGAACTTGTTGACCCTCTCCTCCTTAAATGGGAGATTTACGGTGAAGGAAAACAGTTCACCTCTCTGAACAGTGTCTGGGAGGCTGTGGTTGCTGCTGTACAAAAAGTTGATCGTCAACAGATCAAGAAACTGACAGACTTCATGAACGGAAGGCTTATGACCATTAGTGAGGAGAAGGGTGGTTATATTGGCCACAGATTTTTATTTATTTTTTTATTTTTTTAATGTCAGAAATGTTTATTTGTAAATTTTGAGTTGTTCACTATTCTGACAGATGAAAAAACAAGTGAGAATGGAAAATGTTAATTTTTCATTTAGTTGCATATATTTTCTGCACATTAATAGTTGCCCAATAATTGTGCACACATAGGTTTTGACTTTCTAAGAAAGTCAAAACTTGACTTTTATTTTCTCTAATATTCAGGTTTGAGGTTCATTAACATTTTGAACTGACCAAGAGCACTGTAGTTGTTCAATTATAAAATTAATTCTCATAAATACAGCTTGCCTAAGTATTATGCACACAGTGTAAACCTTAAAACGCCTCTCTCTGGTCTGACTCCTCACTACCTAAACCCCAGCTACTGCATGAATCAGTGCCAGTGCAGCCACTGCAGCTCAGTGAGTCAATTTTGAGCTTTCACATGAGACATGATCTATCCATAAACTTAGAATGAGAAAAACTTGTAGGTGTCCTCTGTATAAGGGCACTGATAACCCAGGTTAAGTTGTGATTGTAGTACTTTTATAAAACAATAAGAGTGCATGCTACGCACAGTAAAATACAGTAAAATAGCATATAAAAGAAGTACATATAAAAGTGTTGCTCTTGATAAAAAGTGATCTATCTTTATACAGACACATCCTCCCTCTCAGACAAGAGGACATTACTTGTGGTGTAGCACTCTGTTTCTCAGCCTCGCTCTTGTGTTATGTGCAGGGGCTTCATCTCACTTCAGAACAGAACATTTATCATTGAGCCTGCGCCGGGCCCCCACACCTCAGACCACTTCATCTACAGAGGAGAGGAGCTCACGCTGTCTGCTGGGTCCTGTGGTCACCTCTACAATGTGTCCAATATGTCCTCCTCTCCACCCCCGGACCCCATCGCAAACCCCTTCCAATCCTTCCACTCTAGGGTGAGATTATAGTTTTACTTCCAGCAGAGAGCATCTTTCAAAATGCACCTCAATTCATCTTTGTGATATGTTTCCGTTTACGTAATTGCTACATTTGGTTTGGGGGACATCCACGAGTAAATTTGATGAAATACAAATGGCTTTTGACTAAAGATTAGCGTTTGGCGTGGCTCCCGGTTTGGATAACTTCCTAAAGGTGGTGCCATTGGCTGGTTTTATGTGTGTTCTGAGCCCAAATGGGAAGGTGGAAGCAGAAGGTTTGGCTGTAATTTGTATGGAACAGGTGTGCTATCCATCTGGCCCCTAGTACCCAACATTAACCAAACTCAATTTATGTCAGGTAGGAAGACTTACAGGCGTGCACTTTGTAATGACCTCGCAGTTTTATGTTCAGAGGAGATGGAGGAGATACAGCGGGGGACAGGGGGAATTCAACACTTTACCTTGTATGACTTTGGCATGTTCAGGTTTCAGCCAGAATAATCACATTAAAGTGCATATGTTTTATAGGACACATGCAGATGGAATTTGTTATAAGATGTCACAGCATGGAAGAGGTAATTTAAAGGGCCTATATTGCACTATTTTATGATCTATGTTATAATGCTGTCTCCTCTGCAAAAACATACCTAGAGTTCTGTTTCATTCAAACATATTTAACACACAAACCCTGCATATTTAGGCTTAGTTCTTCTCTCAGACTGAAAACACTCTGTTCCATCTTGTGATGTGGTAATACAAGAAGTGCTCCACTGTGTTTTCAAACTCAATACACCTCCACTACAATCATTTAGATAATGTCAGCACTGGAGTTGCCAATCTCTTATGAATAAAAAGGCATAGCTGATAACTGCATTTTGAGCTTTGGAGATGTAGATAGACAAATAAACCAGGATTACTGAAACATGTAAATGAAACAAAAAACATAACTGGGTAGTTTTTGTACGAGGTAACAATATTTAACATGATTTAAAATTTATTTAAGAATCAGTTTTGTGTAATATAGGACCTTTAACTGATCTGGGAATTGTGGCAAATTGTGGAGAACTTTGGATTCCAAAACAAAATGTTAATAAAAATAAATATATTCATATATATTCACATATTCTAAATTTCAATTCTTTGACTGTTTGCATTTTTGTTGATGTCATCAGATTGTGATTCTCTATGTCTCTATTAATGCAGCTGGTCAGACACAGACCCACCCTCTTTTCTTATTCATGAGGCTCTGTAAGGTTCTGAGTCAGTGGCAGCTGGATTCAACCAATCACAGTAAAGCGTGAGCATTCAGAAGGGGCAGATTCTTCTTTTGAGTGACTAGAAAAATCCAAAGTGTACATGAATTGTGATCAAATTGTTATAGTGATCTGTCTCTAAGAAACAGACCTGTTTAGTCGTTTATAACTCAAAAACATTTGTTATGTTGATCAGTTTTTATTTAATACTGATTTTCCTAGTAAATTTGTATTGAAATGTTGATATTTATATTTTTTTCTTTTAGGTATTTATAGAAGGAAAAAAACTAAATTATTTTATGGCACTTTGTAATTTTCTGTGAGTGTTTTTTTTTTTTTTTTATATTAAGATGTTTTATTTTTTTATTTTCAAAAACAGTACATCAACATCTGGTAAGTCAGTGTCATCAAGTTATCATGTTTAATTTCAACTATAACTATTGACACCTTCGAGACATGTAAACAATATAGTTTGCGTGGATCATAACAAATGAACTGATCCTGTATTTTAGTGCAATGTAGTACATCCATTTTTTAAAGTTTAGATTTGACTTATTTTGTTTGTACTTTGTAATCTAATCTTTTTGCTTCCCTTCAGCACAAACGTCACGCCCAGAAAACCACCAAGTACGTGGAGCTGATCATTGTGGCTGACAACAGAGAGGTAACGCTCCTATGAACTGTTGTATGTGAAGTGACTGAACTTAGATTTAGACAAACTTTATTGATCCACAAGCGGAATTATTTGGACACAGTGGATCACATATCACAATATATTATAATAACAATGACCAATAATACTTTCTAAATATGTCACAAAAATAGCAAGAGATTGGTGTTATAAACAAGGCATAATTATATAAATCTGTTGTCCCAGGCTCCAGGGTTTTGGGGTCCTACAATTTGACCCTTTTCCTATTAATTATATTAGAAAGGGGCCCATGTGATGCTTCTTGCCCTGGGTCCCCAAATTTCTGTCAACAGGCCTGATATGGAGTATGTTATGAATGTAGTTCTGTATCTCACTGTTTGAGCAAAGCTGTAAGAGCCTCTTAGAGAATGAACTCCTCTGTCCCTCTGTAGTCTGGTGCAGTTGGTGAGCAGGAGTGTCCATGATATGACAAATGTCTCCAGCTCACAGCAGATCACGTGACATCCACACAGAGAGAGCTGGGGAAGAGTCTGGATAAGCTGCAGTAACAGAGAAAGGCTCCCCAGGGACCGCAGGGAATTAGGTCACTGTGCGACCTACAGTGTGGTCTAATGGCACAGACAGGAAGAGCTCCAAATGATTCTCCCAGCCCAGCGTTCAGGAAACAGGAAACGGACGAGTGGATAGAGAAGCCGTGTCATAAGGTTTTTATGTCTGGGAAGATCTGTGAGAATTCAACAGAGGTCATATCTAGTATTGTCATGTGACTAGAGGGTTGCAGATTCAAATCGTAATTTAAAGGGCCCATATTACGCTATTTTGTGATCTGTTATACTGTTGTTTCCTCCTCAAAAACATACCCGGAGTTGTGTTTTGAATTGCTCTGCTGGCCTCAACGTAAAGGTAGCTGTTAACTTGAAAACTATAACATAATGACATCACAAGGTAGAAAAAAACATTTTGAGCTTTGGAGATATAGACAGACGATTATTATTAAAGGATTATTTAAACGTGTGAATGAAACAAAACAAAACTCCAGGTATGCTTTTGGTGAGTTAACAACATTATAACATGGCGTAAAGCTCACAAAAAGCCATTTTGTGTAATATAAGACCTTTAAACATTGTAATAAAAGTTCAGAAATATTTAATTTTCATTCGATATCTCAGTTTCAGTATCCGCATATTTTTTGTCTTTTTTGTCTTGATAAATTTAGATAAGCTGAGATATGGTCAATACAGACCGAAACATGAGAGACATAAAAAAAAACTAAAATATGCAAATCACCAAGTCTTTCTTGTGGCAACCCAAAAGGAGAAATGTCTCAAAAAATAAAGTTACCTTTTACCAGGAAATTAATGTCTTTCAAAAGATTAAATATAGTTTGAAAAATTTTGTGATAGATCTCTGACTTGAAAAAGCAAGTATTATCCTTTCTCCAGAAGACAAATGCACCTGGCTCCCTATCTATTTCACTGTGAAAGTTTGAGTGATGGAGCACACTGTTATAAGTGAGAACACAGATGTTGCCAGATCCACAGCTCTTTACATCTTTCATATAGACCAGATACATACAGACATTATAGTACCAGATGTGCACTCAGCTCATTCTGTGTAAATGCCATATAGTGATGCCAATAAAGTGGTTATTTATAAGATTTGTGGATATACTTACCTGAACAATATGGTAGCCATAACATTTACAATCAAATCTTTAATGTAAGCAAATTAAACAAAAAACAACTGGACTTACTAGTCAACCTGATTGCTTCTTCAGGAAGCATCAGTTAATCAAATCTTTAGTTTGTAGTGATGTTTAATTTAGTACTGTATGTGTAAAATTCTACTAAATCATATCACCATATTGACCCTGAAACATATCAAAATAAATGGATCACACACAAAAATCCAGTTGACCCAAATCTAGATTTTTTAGGATTATTGTTGGATTGGATACCGAAATGAACTTTTAAGACCCCATTTATTCTGGACTGGTTCAATGTAGAGACGGTTTCAGCAGTGGTCCTCTGGACATGTTTTTGCAGTTAAGATGTTTTGGCTCCCATCCAGAAGCCATTTTCCATTTGATGGTACTGGCTTGAGACACTAACTAATCAACTAATCATTGGATTTATGTAGCACTTTCAAGACACCCAAAGCGCTTTACAGAGCATTATTTATTGACTCCACACTCAGTGGTGGTAAGTTACTATTGTAGCCACAGCAGCCCTGGGGCAGACTGACAGAAGCAAGGCAATCTCTGCCATCAGCCCTTCTGACCACCTCACTCACTCACACGCAAACAACGTTCATACTAAGCAATGTGGGTGCAGTGCCTTGCCTAAAGACACAATGATTGTGGCACTTGGTATTCCCAGTGATCTCTCATCCAAGACCCTAGACTTTCTACTCCTCTGAGTTAACTAAGTCCAGCCCCAAATGGAGGAGTTTTAGAGTGAAGCTGCCGTTGTTTACTAGCTAACATCATCATTTGTTTTTATGTCGAAACATCTTGATTGCAAAAACAATGTTCAGATGACCACCTTCTCCTTCCATTCATCCAACATGATGCGTTTTATGTTTGTTCCTAATTGGCTGCTATGGTTTTATTTGACCAAGGAATTACTTAAACTTCTTTGTGAACTATTACAACACAGCACACATTGATATTTACTTCAATACTCTGAACCTTTCTATGCAAATGCAAATCACCTCTCGTACCCACATAATTTAGATCAATTGTTTTGCAGTACAAGGTCCTGTTAAAAATGCATTTTGGCTGAACTCCCAGCGGGGTGTGAACAGAAGGTCACCACTTTTACTCCAGTTTAGAGCCGGAGCTTTTCCCCCGTTGCCAAATCTGCCAATAGACTTGCTCCCCATGGCCCTGCCATTCGTCACTGTAACACTGGGAGATTTGTCCACATCCAGATGGTCACAGCTTGACAGTCTGGCCCAGCGCACTCACTAAATGCACCCGCTGTAAATATTTTCATAGAAGACAACGGCAAAGAAGCTATTTTGATTTTACGCTTGACTGAAATGTTCAATTTGGGATGACTGTTAATAATTTTTGCTCTTTTTTTCAGTTTCAGAAGCAAGGGAAAGATGTGGAGAGAGTGAAGCAACGACTGGTGGAGATAGCCAATTATGTAGACAAGGTACAAGCTCCTCTTCCCCATCGCACAGGAGGGATAAATCACTTTTTAAAATAGAAATATGGCTGCCAGACGAGATTAATAGCCCCAGTTGTGTGATGGATTCATGTCCCACTAAAACAGCTGCTTTTAGGCCCCTCACAAGCAGTCCCAGGGCTGTGTATGTGGACACACAAGTAGCAGGTGCAAGAGGGGAATCGGGGGGTGAAAGGGAGCATGGGTAACTGATAATGGAGAAGGCTTTTTCTGGTGAAATATTATGCAACTAATGATGAGCTCATAATGATTAAAATGCCAAGTTATGTGGTTTATTGATGTAAATTGAGATAAAGATTTAAGCTTGAACTCTTCAACCATGAATGCCATAATATTTTAATTGAATCTTCTGATGTAATCAAACTAATTGACCAGTAACACCACTGCAATAGGACACTCCATCTCAATTTGCTGTGTGATCTTGGAAGTGGTTTTCAAGTGATCTTCATTCTTGATTACCAACTATGTTTCTCCCTCATTTGCGATTAAAGCATCTCAGACTTAACAAAAAAAAACAAAAACTCAATAATTAGTAACATTCTTTACAATATACGTATTTAATAGACACTAATTAAAAGTACTTAAAACTTCCACAAGTAAACAAACATTCAAAGATAATCAAAGTTTGAAATGTATTAGAATTTTTTACAACTTTTTTACTTAAAAAGACTGATTTGAAGATTCACTATGTAACTTTCTTGTCTCCACAGTTATTTCTTGTCTAGAATATTCCTTAGTAATGCATTAAATGTAACTGTCTCCATAGAAACAAGCAGGAGATGTTACCAGGTCAAGTTATCATGTCAGATCAGTACAATTTATTAATTGTGTCTCAATCTGAGAGAGATTTGTTTTTTTATGCCACACTGTGGATGACTCCAGAGTTAGGGTTAGATTCTATATAAAGTGACATCTTTTTTACAGAAAGGTTGCACCTTTAATTACTCCAAAGCATCTGTTTCATATTTTTCCGTTAAAAGTATATCACTATAGTTTTAATACCATCACAATGCATCAGAATTACTTTTCCAAACATTATTAATGGCACACGAGTTCTGCTATCAAAGCTGTGTAAAATGAACCAATCTGACTGACTCTGACTCACTGTATTGACACCTTTCTATGGCCCTCTCATCTGAAAATGTTGAAATATTGAAAAAAAAATTGACACCCCTGAACTATATGTATGGTATTGTCTCTTTCACGCATATAATAATATTCCTAATTGTGCTAGCAATTTCTCCACTAACCACCAAACACTGATGCAGTCACGCCTTAACCCTGCCATATATTTCTTCAAGGTTAACATGCAATATCCTCCAAACATCACACCATTTCATCCTTAACACGAGTAGATAAAGTTGAACCAGGACTAAGTGAGAGGTGAGATGATGTTTACCTCTGCTTCTCTGTGTCTGCCTCCCTATAGTTCTACCGGGCCCTGAACATCCGTGTGGCTCTGGTGGGTCTGGAGGTGTGGAGCGATGCTGATAAATGTCCCATCACCCAGGATCCCTTCACCACTCTGCATGAGTTCCTAGACTGGAGGAAAGTCAAGCTCCTGCCACAGAGGCCTCATGACAACGCACAGCTCATCAGGTGGGGGAGATATGGGCAAGATGGTGAAGATATGATATGGTTTATATAAATGCCAAGTTTTGAAGTATGAAGAAGTCAAACTACTAATGTGTTCTGCCATGAGTAATAAAAACATCAAATTTGAATGATTTTATTTAACTAATCTAAAACAAAAATCTAAAAATAAGATTTAAAGGTAGATGATATTTTTCTAGTACTGTACAAGAGTAGCAAAACAGGTATCATGAGGCAGTTAAAGGTGCACTATGTAATTTTTCTGATGAATGGTCTGCCACCAGCCTGTCTCCATGGAGATGTAATTGCATTTGGAGACATGGAAGCAAGCAGGGGACACTCCCACTCCAGATCCATGGAGTGGTGGCCCCATTCCTAGCAAGATGATCCATGTCGGTATGGATGGTATACTTGTATTCAAGTTAAGCTAAGTAAATTCAGTCTTATGCAGAACATTTCAGGCAAAGCATTATAATCTCCATGGATACAAGCAGGAGTATCATACCATAAAAGTTACATCCTGTAGCTTTATAGATGTCAGTATGTTGACTGAAAGCATATTCTGTATTTAGGGCTTCACTCCAGTATATCTGATCTTATTATGTTTGCATTATCCATATAACATCATAGATATGTTAATTTATGTGGTGTTGCTTGTGTCTGGCCCTTCAAACTGTGATGTATTGTTTAGAAATCACGAGTGTCCATTAGGGTAAGCACTAAATTAAATTAAAAGAAGTTTCAAAGTAAATCACATTAAAGGAGCATATATTAAAGATAGAAACTTCATGAAGCACACACCACATGAGCTCCTATATGCCCTGTTATATTTACAGGCCATCTGAGAGTACTGCACTGAAATAACTCTATCAGGAAATGCATTTGCAGCACATAACTTTGGAAACTGCAAGCTCTCTATGTTTACATTGTGTTGTAGAGGGCAACAGGACAGGCCCTGGGGCTTTGTCCCTATTACTGCAGTCCAATATATGCCCATTCTGTTCCTGTACTGTGCACTGTAAATATTACTCTGGTTTGAAGCTATTCTCACATGACTGTAAAGACCTGAACGTTACTTTAGAAGGAAATAATAGGGCTTTCAACAATAACAGGCAATGTCACAGCAAGTGTATGGTTTTACCAGTATTAAACAACTTTGTAAAGTACTAAAAGTACTACGGATAACAATATCACTTTTTTCAGTTATATTGTAAACATTGAGAATCAGTTTATTGGCATTCCTATATAGCACAAGACAGTTATGTTAATATTGCTGTAGAATGCATGATTAATGGTGCTGTTATTGAAAACCCAGGTCTAAAATTTCACACTTGGGTGATCTGTCATATTACCAGACACAGGAGACTAATTGCAATTTCACAGTATTTAGACATTCCTACTGTGGATTTTGAAAAAATGCCTTTTAAAACACACCTGATCTGCTATAATTATGAGAAGTCTTGAGTATGATCTCATATAACACTGGTTTTCTTATTTTTCCATGACCTTTGCCCTGTGCAGTGGGGTCTATTTTCAGGGCACTACCATCGGCATGGCACCCATCATGAGCATGTGTACGGTGGAACAATCTGGAGGGATTGTGATGGTAAGTATAGACCCTTCATCTCCTCCTCTTCCTCTCCGCTGCCCTGCCCCCACCCTCCTTCATCCACACTGTGTGATTGAATCAGTGTAGACTTTGTCCAGATCTGTTTAGGCAGCATGAGGTGTTTGCTGCTGTATGGTGGAAGGGCATTTGATAACAAGTCTAACATGGAATCGGGGTTTTTTGTTGGTTTTTTTTATCCTGGCATTTTCACAGTAATTTCTGACAGAAAAAGGCCATTATTGTGCTTAGGCAAACCAGTACTAGGCATCCAACATCAACACAAAACATGCACAATAAGCAAAAGCTAAGGTTATTGTGACGAAGAAGTTGGGGGTTGCCCCAGTGGCGCTGAAGGATGGGTCAAATGCAGTGGACAAATTGGTCTATGCGAACAAAAAAAAAAAAATCACTTAATTCAGGTGAATTCAGGACAGGTCTTTCTAGTAATTACCTGAGCACAGTTCTACATGACCATTTATGTAAAAGTTTAAATAATATTATATTACATAGGGCTTAAAAAAATCATAGTTCTATTTTGATAATCATAATCATAGTTATCTGGACTATACAGACTCCAAAACACATATGAAAACACATTTTATAAAAAGACAGTGGCATTAATAAATTATGTTTAGGTCAAAAAGAATAACAATAGTGGATTTTCGCCAATAATACACTTTATTTGTAAATATTCTCAAATTAGAAGACTTCAGTCACCATATTTTGACCTATATTTGGTTCAAGCAGACCTTTTTTTTAAATTATTATTATTTTATGCAAATAATAAATAACATAATGATCCATGAGTGTCATAGCTATATAGCAGACACAAGCACAATAGGTTTTGTGTGTAACTTTTTGGTTTAGGGTCCTTCACCTCCTGTTTCTATGGATATGTCATTGTTCTGCCTAGAATGTTCTACGGTATGACATTAAATAGATTTAACCTTTAATTTTTTCAAGTACAGGTGGTGTTACAGCTCAAAAATAATACCTTAAAAAAACAGGCATTCTGACTGTTCCCAAGGTTGCCTCTCCACAGATCTGACCTGTAACTTGGTCTAGTTTGGCCTCCATGAAAATAGAAAGGTTTAGTACCATACTGTGAAATATTCCAGACAAATCAATAACATATCCATGGAAAATGCATTTGATGGACTCTCCACCAGAAAAGTTACACACTGCACCTTTAAAAATGTGTTTTGAAAATCTAAATTTACAGTGAAATTAATAATTTGATTCATCAACTAATTGAAAATATAATCTCTGACTAATCAATCACTAAAATAATAGTTAGTTACAGACCTAATATTACATAGATCCTCAGGCAGTACATTTTATGATATACCCTGGAAATCCAACTCGAATAAAGGCCTGAAGATTGTGCTTTAATATAATATACGTACTAAAGTAAAAATACTTAAAAAGCCTGTCTAAATATTTGACTAAACTAATGTTATGAATAAAGGCTGCATTCAGATATAGGCTATTACAGCACATACAATCAATATTTACTTTACTATTTACAGTATACATACACAGTTTCTTCGGTAAATATTCATGAAAAATGAAAATGAGGACACAGTTTTGCAGATGCCCTTGTAAAGTCATTCAATTTCACGCAGCCTCTCTGATTTTCCTCCTGACACAACTAAAGAAGGGTTACTCCAAGGACACAACCTTTAAATAATACTAGGTTCGGTTTCATATCTGTTCCCAAATTGTTTATCCAAAGTCCTTGCGCACATTAAATGATAGCCCTACCCTCACAAAAGCAGAGAAGATCTTTTATAAGCTATCACAACCAAACCATATTGGGATGTGCATTTCCCATTAGTGGATGTAGTAGTTATTTGTTTTGCTGGGTCTGGCAGTTTCAAGGCAGCTCCAGATGTTTCTTTTCCCCATTACTTACAGATGGCAGATGTTTTGGACAGAGATTAGAAGAGAGGTGCAAACCAGTTAGGAGGAGGGTGGACATCTTTCATCACGCTCTCACCAACCACCAAGACCTTTTATTCGCTCCAAATGCACTTTTCATTTTCACAGCTTGTACCAGCGTAATGTGTTCGTGGTCATAACTTAAAGTCATGTGGGTGCTTTTGTGCCAATAGAAAAGCTGACAGCATCTTAGCTTTTTGTCTCGAAAATGAGGTTTTCCTCCAGCAAAAATGATATCCGGGAGGAGCCATCAAAGCATTACTGGGTTACAAGCGACACAATCTCCACGGTTACGGGTCATGGTTTCAACAAAGTAATGTTTCTGGCTTTGGTGAGTTTTGATTTAGTTTGTGTTTTTGTGTGGGAGCGCTGGTCTGTAAATTTGGTAAACAGAAAGGAGATGAGAAAAGTTTTCGCATCCTTCTGGCTGAAAGGCAAGGGCTAGCTCGTAGATTCTACCCTGTAATCAGACACTCAACTTTGACACATGCCCCCATCTTAAAAGGAAGTGTGTAATTTTCCCATGTAGTGTTCAGGACCAGCGTTTATGGGTGGGCTCTGCTATGACATAGTGAATACATTTTTCTGTCTGTAACTTTGCAAGATTGATAATATGTTATCAAAGAGGCACTATCCAAGCTTTTAAGTGGATACAACAAAATGTTCACATTTTTTAGCACTTAAAATAACTTTAAGTAAATAAAGATAAGTTAGAGCTGAACACTGTACCAGAAAAGTTACACATTGCACTTTTTTACAGAGTATCTGGATTTTGTTTTTAGTCTTTGACTAAAAAAGCTTTTCATAATAATGATAATAATAATTTATAATGCTTATATATAGTGCTTTTCTTGACACACTAAGATGCTTCACACAGTTCAAACAAAGAAAACACAAATTAAAACAAAAATTAGATTCAGTTATTCGAAGTTTTGAACAGATGAACTTTTAGAGTATTTATTTCCTAAAAAAAAAAAAAAAAAAAAAAACTGATCCAAATGTGTAAAGTAGCTGTTATTTATCCCAAGTAACCACAGAACAGCTTTATCTAAATAAAAATTCAAACACTATATGAGGTTCTGGGCCCACTACGAACAGTAAATAGTCTTAATACATCAAAGTAAATGTCCAAGCAGAATATTAACTGAACTGAAATTTGGATCGGCACTGAAATCCAATACCATTATCGGATTGGTGTATCTCTGTCAGTGCGTGGTAGACATATGTTCCATGTAGTTCACAACTTTTCAATACTGATTCTATACCCAAAAAAGACAAAAAGTGCAGAATATGAACTATGCAACTGCTCTTGAAAGTGAAAATGAATAAATATACATGCATCCTCTTTAATCTCAATTAATTTGACTTCAACTGACTTTACTTCTTGCTGTCTCACCTTTATATTTTGTTTGTGAATAGAAAATTTTCCAAGGAAGGTGAAATACAGCAACTTTTTGTCCTTGTTCAAATCTTGCACATACGCAACACAACTTCTTCCACAGCTTCCTAAGTAGAAAGGCCTCCTCCTTACGCTATAGAAATCATGCTTGTTTACAGCTGGTGCGCGTTCGGAATGGCTGAACAAATTGCTGTTGAAGTTACCTGTCCAGAAATACTTTAGCGACCAACGCGTCAGACTTTAGACCCTTTATCTGCTTCAGTGCATGCCATCGCTAGAAGGAATCTCCAAGAATCACCTTAGTTTGGGTTCACTCCTTTTCCCCTTCTCTTCTTCTTTCAACAACCTCAAGAATGGATTTTCTTTTGCGGCTCACTGGTAGTGGATTCTTGTCTCCCATTGCAACAAACTTTGAGTAAACAGCATCTTGTGTATGTGGAATGCGTGAGAGGTGTACGTAAATCACATAATTCCAATGCGCCGGCAAGTCAGTTACGCTACAAACGGAGGGAGCTTTGATTGACAACCTAACAGCCAATACATAACAGGGTCATCATAATTACAAGGCTGCTGCATCTCTATAATGCAATTTTGAACTTTCATTAACAATTTGAAACAAAAAAATCCTCCATATAACCTTTCCATAAAACTATTTTGAAAAGGGCATGCAATTCAACATTTTTTACAAATAAATAAATAATTGGAAAATAAGTTCTTAAGAATCTCTTTTTATACTTGTTTTCCTTCTCAAAAATCAGTTAAAATTAAATGAAATAACATGAGTACTTTCCCTTTTCGCAGGATCACTCGGAGAATCCTCTTGGCGCAGCAGTGACTTTGGCTCATGAGCTTGGGCACAACTTTGGGATGAACCATGATACCCCAGAGCGAGGCTGTGGCTGTAGGATGACCGTGGACCGAGGAGGCTGCATCATGACCCCATCCACAGGGTAAGAACTGGTCTTTTCAACTAGAGGTGTGAGATGTATTGAAAAATGTATCACAATTTTTGTTTTGGGTATGTAAAATTAGGACATTAAAGGTCCTATATTACATAAAACTGATTCTTGTGAGTTTTAAGTCGTGTTATAATGCTGTTCTTGCCTTAAAAACATACCTGGAGTTGAGTTATGTTTTGTATCTTTCACACAAATTTGAGTAATCTTTTATTATTAGTCTGTTTACATCTCCAGAGCTCAAAATGTTCTGTTCTATCTTGTGATGTTGCATGAAACAGTAGTTTTCAAGTTAACAGCTGTCTTTTACCTTTTGTTCAGTAGAGATTGGCAATTTCAGAGCTGAAATGATTCTAATGGAGTTGTGTGGAGTTTAAAAACACATTGGAGCACTTCTTGTATTAGCACATGACATCGGAAGTGTTTTCTGTTTGAGAGAAGAACTCAGCCTAAATATGCAGGGTTTGTATGTTAAATATGTGTGAACGAAAAAAGCACAACTCCAGGTATGTCTTTGATGAGGAAACAACCTTATAACATACACTACAAGATCAAAAGTTTTAGAACACCCTAATTTTTCCAGTTATTTCTTGCTAATAAATTCATGCAAGTCCAGTGACTGGCTTGAAATGGTACAAAGGTAAGTACTGAACAGCCAGAGGTAAAAAAAAAAAAGATAATAAGATCATAAAACACAAGTACAAGCTCTGCCAAAAATATCTCAGGACAAAAGAACAAGATGGTGAGCTTGAAAACACGGAGTGTCCAGCACAGTCTCCAGACTTAAGCCCCATCGAGCTGGTTTGGGATGAACTGGACAGAAGAGTGAAAGCCAAGCAACCTACGAGTGCCACACATTTATGGGAACTTCTGCAACAGACTTGGAAAGAACTTTCTGAAGCATATTTGATTTCTATTCTAAAAAGGACAAGCCACGAGTGTGTTCAGCTGTTATATCTGCCAAAGGTGGACACTTTCATGAATCAAAAGTTCAGAATAGGTGTTGATCAAGAAAAAATTGGAAAAAGTGTGGTGTTCTAAAACTTTTGACCAGTAGTGTAGATGAGAAAATAGTGTAATAAGTTTGTTGTTGTTTTTTTGGTTTATTGCACTGAGAATATGCATTCTTACTGTGAGCAGGCTTGGATCCACGCAAACCTGACTCTTACTTGGCCTGTTTGTTTCCACTATTATGGCTATTATCTTCCACATTATCGTATAAAGCGTATCTATCTCCATGTCGAATGTGATGTTCCACCTCGAGAAAGTTACATACGGTTCCTTTAAAACAGTAAGAAATGATTTTTTTTTTAAAGAGTTGATTAAAATAAACATAACAGAAATGACTATTGTAATCACCCAATCAGAATATAAAGGGATATTTTTGGCATTTTTATTGTTTTCTAAGGTCCATACATGTTTTGTGCTGGTTTTGTACCTCGATCATTACCTGTTACAGACATATTTTACCATATTCCTGATACATTGCCAAAATATTGTTTAAATATCGTTATCAAGATAATTTTTGTGAGAATTGCCCAGCTCTACTCTCTGCACACAAACAAAGTCCCAATCTAAACCATTCGCTTGCCTTTTTCATTTACTTCATAATAATACATCATTAAAAAGCTCATTGTAGAAACTCAACCTCTCATTAGTTTTACAAATATTATTCTTATTACCTTTTTGGTTAGGGTTTGGTCTTTGTCAAATGCACTGCACTCTGTTTCGTGGAAAAAAATTTCGGTCAATTTTGGGAACAGGAAAAAATAAAACTGGCTGCAATGTCAATGGATCTATTTGAGTTTGGAAAATTGCTGTAACCCTGACAACCTGATAAAGTCAGATTGGATGCTGTATGCACTTGTTGACACAGAAGGGTACTGAGTTTCACTTACTTGAGTATATTTTTAATAAAACTGTACTACTTCACAAATATATTTTACAGTTACATTACTTTTATTTAAAGGTGCACTGCATAACTTTTCTAGTGGAGGGTCTGCCACATACTTGTCTTCATGGGGATGTTATAACTTGGTCACAAGCAGACGATGGACCCTTCCCTCTTAAGTCTTAAGTTTTGTCTGACTATAGATTGTTGTAAAATGTTGAGTTTGGTTTGCTTCTTGAATTTTGGGGGAAAACGGATGGAAAAATCATGTCTAGTTTAGAGTGTTTTCGATGAGATTTGATCAGATTTGTCCCTCTGAGGTTACTAGAAGGAGAAATAATATTTTTTTGTTTGGAGACACTATTTTGTTAATGCTAACTCTTTTTTTTTTTCACGTTTAAAGAATCACAGAGAATAGATTTTCTTATTTAACTTTTTTGCTTTATTTAGCAAAAATGTTTTTTCACAGTGTTGGCCTTGACTAAATTTGAGATTTGGCCTTCTGTGGATCCTGTAGTTTTTAAAATTAGGTTGAAACTTAATTATTTTCAGAATTGAATTCCAAATTAACTGTAGTAACCTTTTATAATGAAATGCGGAGGATAAAAATTGGTCTTTTGAATTTTAAATTAAGAAGATAAGAAGGTGCTGTGCTGAGTGACCAAGTTCATTTGAATGCAAAAACAACAACAGAGCAAGAGCCCTGTTTATAATAATGAAGTCTACTTACACATTGCCAGTTAATTCTTGAAATGTCATTGTGCTTTATTATTACAGGTTACTTCTATTATGAAAAGTGAATTCAGGTACACAATCATAGACGTGCTCACGTTAAGACGGTCACTATAAAAAAATTTGAAAGTAGAAGTAAATATAGACGATAAACAATAATATTGAAACTAATTTATGCTACTGACACCAAGGGCTAACCCAACAGCTGGTTTAAACCACAAAAACGGTTTTAAATCTTCAATATTGTTTAGTTTACATCTGTAATGAGTCATAGAAGTTATGTATTCAACATTTTACAGCTTAAAGGTGCATTGTGTAACTTTTCTGGTGGAGGGTCAGTCATATGCTTTTCTTCATTGAGAAGTTATTACTTTGTATGGAATGTTTCACAGTATGGCATTAAACCTTTCTATCTTCATGGAGACCAAACCAGACCAAGCTATTGGTCAGATCTGTGGAGAAGCAACTCTGCTCACAATGTCAGAATGCCTGTTTTCTAGGTATTTCTAATCAGTAGTAACACCTATAATTGAATAAATGTAAGGTAGCGCTGTTTAAAGTCATACTGTGAAACGTTCCCGGCAGAGCAATGGCATATCCATAGAAAGAAACCGGTGATGGACCCCCAAGCAAAAAGTTACACAGTGCAAACTTAAATCTAATCAAAAATTGCAAGAAAACGTGCATGCGATACATATTGATTCCAAAAAGTTATTGTTACAGTTTTCTTGTGTTGAACATTAAGTCAATATAGTAATTATAGTAGCAGGTCTAACTCACATTCACACTGACTCAGGCCTGGTGCTGATAACACTGTGCCCACTCTGATGCAGGCTGTGCTGTTTGTAAGAGGGGCAGATAACAGTCACTCACAGTGCACCTCTGCCACATCTCCAACATTTACTCTCTGTGACCAACACAACTCACTCACTGCAGAGATGTGCAACAAGGACAGACTCTACAACACACAGAAAAACATGGGGATGGAAAAATACTGAAAAGTTTCTTTTTTATAATCCTATATATATATATATATATATATATATATATATATATATATATATATATATATATATATATATATATATATATATATATATATATATATATATACATATTAAACATATGCAGGACTGAACTCAATTGAAATAAAACGTTGGGTTAGCTAAAGATAACTTGGTTAAAAGCTCATGAGAGTCAATTTTACATAACATTTCTTCTTTAAGAAAAAATAGATAAATAAACCAATGAATTATTGGACTAAACTTGATGGAAACTAGGCTGAACTGGACTTAATCACAACTAAAGCAGGTCTAACCCTTACTGACAGAAGTGAAACAAAACCTGAGTGAAATTAAATAACTGTTCAATAGAACTGCCAAACACTGCTGATGTTTCAATAGAAAGAAGCCAACTCTATAAGGTGACATTGACCTGAACTGACCGGCACATAATATAACTAACGCTATTACATTTTCTATTATCTAAAGGCCTTTGTTCTGTGCTTAAATTCTTGCAGGGAATCGTCTATTGCTTTGGTTGAATCATCTATTGCTTGATTGTTCAGCTCTCTTAAAAATACTTAAAAATTTATGGATGTATTAGTTAATGTTTCAATATATTGAGTCTGTTCAGTTGCTTATACCACAATATCACAGTTTAAAGGTGCATTGTGTAACTTTTCTGGTGGAGGGTCCACCATCTACTTTTCTCCATGGAAATATGGTATTGGGCCCGGTCAAGCAGAAGTATACAGCAAGGCCAAAAATTCAAGTTAATGCATCTGATATAAAATGTATTCAACAGAAAGCATATGTACTCTAGTTTATGAAACTGTTTACCTTTTTTCTGTACCATTATTGGTTCTAAAGTTACATACGTTATAAACATACCATTTATGCAACATGGAACAAAAATTATTTCCCAAATTTCAAAGACAAATCTTGTAAATAAATTTATGTATTTCATCATATCTTGTGTTATTCGATCTTTGAACTGTTGATGAAGGTACATGATTTAAAAAAAAAAATAAAAAAATTTTAAATGATAAAAATTAGCTTGGAAGGACTGACATATTTTATAGAAACAGTTACCTTTCATTTTGAAGTAATATTAAAGTATTCGGAAGAAAAAAGCTGACAAATTATGGCAAATCATGCACCTTCTACTTGCTTACACAATTTTCCCTTCGTTACTTTTCCCTCCGTTACCATGACCTTTCTTAATAAAAAAATCTCATTACTCAAAAAGTAAGAGGTTTTTTAACCTAATCTTGTACCATATGATAGAAAACTATATGAAGCAAATATTCAAACCAGTTTGTTAAGGATATGTAAGTGAGAACCGGTAGTTATCTCTGTTTGTATTTATT